TATTGTTGTCATTATCATCTTTATTAACATAACAGACTTGTTGTCATGCTCTTTTTCTTTTCTTTTCTTTTCTTTTTAAATGTTTTTCATTGTATTTAAGAAAAAAAAAGCATAAATAAATTAAGAGAGAGAGAGAAAGAGATGGAGAGGGGTGGTGCAAGTGAGGGGGAGGGCGAGAGAGAGAGATTAATAATTCTTCATTCAAGAAAAAAAAAATAAACTAGACATTAAAAAGTTCAAATCATAGAAGATAAAGTCTAGAAAAATAAAGGAATAATGGTTTCCATTTAAGGTTAATGATTCCATTTGTATATTGTCTAGTGAATTAGGCAGGTAAGGAAGGAAGGAAGGAAGGAAGGAAGGAAGGAAGGAAGGAACTAATTAAACTAGTTGGTTAATGAATGAATTAAAATGAGGAGTTATTGTATAGATCATTACAAGAATGAATCATTGTTGACCATCTTCATTCATATTGATCTATTTAAATTTGTGTGAAGAACAGATACTTCGGATTCGTTCGTGATCATTCAATAGAATAGGATACATAATGAGGAAAGCACCCAAGTGTATCACAAGGCTAGCTCTTACTTGGAATCCTCAAGGTCAACGAGAAAGAGGAAGACTAGTGAACACATTATGTTGAGAAATGGAGATAGACATTATAAGAATGAACAACAATTGGATAAAACTAGAAAGGAAAGCTGAAGGCAGAATGGGTTGGAGAATGCTGGTCAGTGGCCTATGCTCCAGTGGGATTAACAGACGTAAGAAAGTAAGTAACCAATTAGATGTTAGCAGTTCAAGAATCGACATCTAAATAATGTACATTCTTTTCACTGCATATTGCCATCAACCACGATATTTGTGATTGGGCTTTTTGTACGTTGTACAATGAAAGATTGTACATTTTTCACAAACGTACCTGAATAGTTTGTGTAATTCATTGATATAATGAACTATTGAAACAAACGAGGAAACAAATAACTGACTTCAGGAAAAACTCCCGAAGTTCTAGTGAGAAGCCGTTACCAGTGGAGTTCAACCAGGTCTGTTGTGAAATAGGAACTCACTGAAGACAATGGTGTACGGATTGGTTGAAGTTAGACATTAACACCGTTGGATGCCGGCTCAGTGGTCTATTGGTTAAGTGCTCGCGCGCGAAGCCAGTTGGTCCTGGGTTCGAGCCCCGCGTGGTCCGGGATCGTGGATGCGCACTGCTGAGGAGTCCCATACTAGGATGAAACGGCCGTCCAGTGCTTCCAGGTTTTCCATGGTGGTCTAGCTTCAACTGACTCATGATTTCAATCTGTGAAATTTCTAAAATCTCCACAAAACCCATTCTGACAAATAACTAGTTGACATATCTAGATGACAAGGAACAGGTTGTTCACTTATTCAAGTAGGCTGCAATAATAGGATGAAACAACTGTAGTTTAATCAAGGTCAATCAAGGTCGACACTAAAACGACTAGACAAATCAATCTGTGATAAATTCACACAAAAATTCACTCTTACATAGTATATATTAATGATGATAGTATTAAAAATAGAATTAAAGATTAATCTTTGAGAGACCTAAGTTATCTTCCAGACTATAAATGAAGAAGGTTCGGAATTTCAGTTCCATGTATGTGATCGTAGTTGAGCGTTGCTGAGGAATCCCATACTAGAACGAAAAGGCTATTTAGTGTTTCCATTTTTTTCAATTGTGGTTTAACATTGATCGGTTCATGATCTTAAATAATGCATGACGAAAAAACAATTAAAGTTAAACCACCTTGGAACACCTGGAAGCATTGGACGGTCGTTTCGTCTTAGTTTGGGACTCTTCAACAGTGCGCATCGACGACTTCATCCACGATATTCCAACCCATGACCAATCGGTCTCGCGTGCGATCGCTTAAGCTATAAACCACCACTCACATTCAACAACATTAATGTCTAACTTAAACAAATCTACGAAATCGCTCCACCGTCCACCATTGTCTTCCGTGAGTTACTATATCACAACAGATCTGATCAAACTCCAGTGGTCACGGCTTCTCACTAGAACTACAGGAAATATATCTTGGAGACTATCATTAGTGAGCATATGTTGAGTAGTATTAGAAGGGGTTTTTGTGGTTATTATAATAATTTAATGGTTAACTTTGTTTAAACATAAACTCATGCATTAATACACATGCACCATGTGTTACTATAGGCTAAACAAAATACAAACAAACATGTAAACATAAACAAATGTTTGTGTGTTTATTTGTCTGACTTCAGTTGTTAGTGTACTGATCAGTGTCTGTTCTGGTTGTTTTTTTTAATGCTCGTTTAGTTATTTTAGCGGCGGGGGGCGAGAATCTAAATTGAAAATAAGTCAGTGATATTTTATGAGCTATGCGAAGAAAGAAGACAAGTGATCAGAATGGTATTCAAGGCTCGGTTTTCTTCACTTAGTAACTAATGCTCATCATTGTAATGATAATTATTATGTAGCAGTAATTAAATCCTCAAAAAATAAATAGTTTTGTATGTCTTTGACATTTGATACTGACCATATTAGTTTTAATGCACTCAACTAGCTGAATGCGCTCAGCCACGCATCTGCACCAGATCATGAATGAGTACGCCGTGTTATGTATTTTTTACGACCGTTAACTAGTTTAGATTAAACGCTTCTCTCTATATATATATATCGATAGTCTTTAAATTATATCTTCGAATATCTTCGTTTCTGACTTCGGATTTCACTGGGTTGACATACTTCAATCAGAACGGTGATATGTCTAAAGACGTTGTCAAACTTCGAATACCTGTAGTATCTTTAATCACAATATAGTAGACATTAGGAAAATAAGCAAGAGTGATTTGGAATTAAGATAGTAACTCACCGATGGAACAAAATAACTATGGTTCAATATATATACAGAGAGAGAGAGATAAAGTCCGCCTGGAGTCCCTCTGGGGCTACTGCCGGTTCAAAGCCCGGACAAAGGAGTAGGGTTTGACATGAGGTTGAAGACCCCACTCCGTAGGAAACTAACTCGCTTAAAAAACGCTAACCAGAAAAAAGATAATTCAAACCATATAAACTCTGCCCTGGGATTTAGAAGTTCTTCATTTAGAAGAGTTATGATGTCTCATTGTGAAAACTGAGTTCCTTCGAAAGTTACGAAGCTAATACCTCTTTTAGAAATCACAGCAACCATTAATTTAAGTACATGGAATGCTCGTACAATATGAGAGACCGAGAGAATCATCCAAATTCCTTCAGAAATCAAAAGTTGAAACCTAGAGTTATTTGGAATCAGTGAAACATATTGAATACAGGTTGGAAAACAAAGACTAGCTTCAGGAGAGCTGCTGTTAAACAGTATATGGTTCGATTCAGTGATTGATTACTACAGTGTTTATCATGAGTGATAAAATTATATGTACCCATTCATTTGTGGATAATATCGTGTGAATATTCTTGGCATCTTAGTAAGAATCTATAACTAGTACAGTTCAATTATATTGGATATGAGATAGTTACCCTATAATAGTGAATAGGAAGATAGTTACTGCATATTCCAAATTAATTGAAGTTATAGATGTAAACAATTGTATGACGTCTTAGTTTTCCAAAAAAAATTGGTAATCACATGGACTCCTGAAGGATTAAATTACAATTCCTATACTAGAGTGAGTTAGTTGGTCAGTGTTTTATAGTTTTCACAATTGATTGATCAATGGATGGTAATCAATATCACGTGTGTCAAGTCCTTCTTAGTGCATATTGAATGCTATCGACCAAATTGCAATGTGGCCACTAGTCTAGGAGACTCAACACTGTGTGCACTATGATAAAATGGTGGTTAAAGGTAGTCGGCAGGAAACCCTGGACCCGAGTTCCGCGCTATTTGGCACCCGTCAGTAAGGTGTACCTGTAATATTGAGGAAAATAGTGCTCCCTGACGGGTTCGATCCCGTGTAATCCAGCTTCACAGCCAGAGACGTGACCAGTGAGCTATCCGGGCCGCGATCGGCCTCTTGTAAGACTGAAATGCATTCAAAATTGATTGATCATTGGGTAGTGATCAATGTCATGTGTGTCAAGTCCTTCTTTAGTGCAACAAGGGTGAGTTAGTTTGTCAGGGTTTCATTGTTTTTAATAATTAATCAATAATTGACGATTCTTAGTGTAAAAGTATGTAGCAGTAAGTAACTTCCCAAAATCAATAGCTGTGTAAGTCTTCGACATTTAATGATGGCCATATTAGGTTTTAACGGACTCACATAGCGGAATGCGCTCAATCACGCATCCATATGAAATCACGAGTGAATACAATGCGTTCACCTTGTCCTACAACCGCTAGTCAGTTTAAATCATTCACTTCACGTCATTATCGATAACCTATCTAATATATATTCGAACCTCCTCTCTACTGACTTCTGATTTCATTGAGTTGTCACGTTTCGATTATAGAAGTTGTTACTGATTGAGGTGTTGTTAAACTCTAAATACTAGTGACATCTTCAAGCTTAAAATTTTGAGAATATCCACGTTTACACATACACACTATACAAGGATATAGATTACTCTTGCATTGTAACTCTTGAATTATTTTGTGGCCGCTTCCAAACGTGTTATTATTGCTGTATTTCAGAAGACAAACATAAATGAAACCAACCCGTTTTTTTTCCTTCGAAAATCAAAATGATTACGTAATTGTCCACCAATCATCACAACCACCAACCTCTAACTCTTTCAACAATGAAACGACCAGATTATAATTTGAAATACACGTAATTATACAAGAAAAACAACAAATTAGATGTTGTAATTGACACTGAATGATTGTTGCTATGGCATAATTATCAAGTCAGAATTCATGTTATCTAAATGATTCTTGATAGAACTAATTACGCTACTCTCTCATTCTCACTCCTTCGTTCGCTCAAGAAATTGTTGAGTCATGATTAAATTGTTAGCGTCTTAAAAAGTCAGTATGTAAACTTTCAACGTGTTAATCTGCCTTTAGTAATCTAGACGCTTTCATATATGCAAAACGATGATACTGTGAAGATGATGATGATGATGATGATGATGATGATGATGATGATGATGATGATGATGATGATGATGATGATGATGATGATGATGATGATGATGATGATGATGATGATGATGATGATGATGATGATGATGATGATGATGATGATGATGATGATGATGATGATGATGATGATGATGATGATGATGATGATGATGATGATGATGATGATGATGATGATGATGATGATGATGATGATGATGATGATGATGATGATGATGATGATGATGATGATGATGATGATGATGATGATGATGATGATGATGATGATGATGATGATGATGATGATGATGATGATGATGATGATGATGATGATGATGATGATGATGATGATGATGATGATGATGATGATGATGATGATGATGATGATGATGATGATGATGATGATGATGATGATGATGATGATGATGATGATGATGATGATGATGATGATGATGATGATGATGATGATGATGATGATGATGATGATGATGATGATGATGATGATGATGATGATGATGATGATGATGATGATGATGATGATGATGATGATGATGATGATGATGATGATGATGATGATGATGATGATGATGATGATGATGATGATGATGATGATGATGATGATGATGATGATGATGATGATGATGATGATGATGATGATGATGATGATGATGATGATGATGATGATGATGATGATGATGATGATGATGATGATGATGATGATGATGATGATGATGATGATGATGATGATGATGATGATGATGATGATGATGATGATGATGATGATGATGATGATGATGATGATGATGATGATGATGATGATGATGATGATGATGATGATGATGATGATGATGATGATGATGATGATGATGATGATGATGATGATGATGATGATGATGATGATGATGATGATGATGATGATGATGATGATGATGATGATGATGATGATGATGATGATGATGATGATGATGATGATGATGATGATGATGATGATGATGATGATGATGATGATGATGATGATGATGATGATGATGATGATGATGATGATGATGATGATGATGATGATGATGATGATGATGATGATGATGATGATGATGATGATGATGATGATGATGATGATGATGATGATGATGATATATTTATATGGTCTATTGGTGATTTGTGATATATTTGAAGATAGATTTCTACCACATAATAGACAACTTTATTTGATGGGTTTAGGTATGGAATTTGAGAGTGAACAACTCTTTCATTCCATTTGAATGAATCGAATTAAAAGAATCGTAGTTCGAGGTCGCTTTACTTTAGCTACTCTTGTGTAAGATGATTCAAATTAAATAAGCAATATTGTTTACTGTCTTTTGTCTACAACTTATTTATCGTACAAGTCTGTCCATAGTAATCAAATGTTCGTTACCATGCATTTTTTTCTGTTATTTACCTTCACGGGGTGTCTGCATATCTTTCAAAGAGAGAAAGATCAATGTTCATTAAGTCTTTACATTATTGTGAATCAATAAATGTATTTGCTAAAATATGATCCTTATGATATAACAACTATCGATTTTTAATCGATGAGTTTTGATCCGAATCTTTCTGCAACTTATTTACTTCATGCGACTTATTATCATGATTAGTATCGCTAACAAACATGGCTCGGTTGCATCTGAATAAAGTTAGTTAGCAGTCGCTTTATACAACAAATTGAGCAGTAATATGTGATTAAGCACAAGATCTTGGGTTTCGAAGGAAAGACGGAATGACTATTTATCTTAGGGGGCCACACCCGGAGCCTTCGACCTGAGGGTCTGATCCACAAGGCAGTGGAGCATCGTAAGGAGATGCAGTCCCATGGAAGCCGGTGACCAACAATTGGTTCATACGCCATTTGTTCGCGCAGAATACTGGAGCCCATGTGCGCCATTGGTTTGGAATCCGGTTAAAGAGCCCGACATTCACTTTTCGTCCTCTCAATTTCGTAAACAACACCCCAGCCACGAGAAGGCAGTGGGTAAGACTTCCCTAATGATAAAAGTGACGAATTTTGACCTGTAATAGAATTGTTCTATTTAGAACTGGTCATTCGGATGTACTTGTACCCTATAGCTGATGTTCACTGTTGGATTCGAACCCAGTACCTTCTACTTTAAATGATACAGCTTTATTCGCTTAGATGCTCACAGGATTTATATATCCTAACTAAGCTTAATTGAAATCCAGTCAGGGTTATCAATAATAGGATAACTCAAAAACTTAGTATGACTATAATGTCAAAATGATCTTGTCATTTATAACCAAACACCATCGAACTATTTGACATGAAATTTTTCCATCTATTAGTAACTTATTTTAAGGTATAAGTAAAGATAGATGGTTACCGGCAGTGGAAAACATAACTCACGTTACGTCTTATGTGGGACTCACCAGCTGGATATACCTGAATCTCAAAGTTGATGTTCATTCTGGGACTCGAACCCGGTACCGTTCTTTTTTAAGGTATAACATTTCACTATCTCTTTCTATAATTCAATATATCTTTCCTCTCAATCATGATCTCATTCTATCTTCTAAAATGAATTGTGAAAATATAATCAGAGGCCTATTCTGTATTTATTCAAATCTTTCGATTAGAATTTGAAGATGACCAGGTATTTGTAGTTTAACAACACCTCAATCAGTAACAATTTCTATAATCGAAACACCACAATCCAGTAAAATCAGAAGTCACCAGAGAGGTGGTTCAAAGATATATTTGATAGGACAGCAATATATCGCGAATTAACTTATCTGAACTGACTAGCGGTTGTAGGAGAAGTTGATCTCATATGGATGCGTGACTGAGCACATTCAGCTATGTGAGTCCATTAAAACTAATATGGCCATCATCAAATGTCGAAGACTTACACAGCTATTGATTTTGGGGATTTAATTACCAGTACAAATTTATCAACTTGATTTCAGTTATATCCAGTTAATTTGATTAGAAAATCAATGTGATATAAATTACGGTTTGTCATAAACCTAAGAACTCCCAGTTAATAATCAATCAATTTCTTTTTTAAATAAAATTACGTGGATTGATCAAATTTAGACATTAACACGGTTGGATACCGACTCAATAGTATAGAGGTTAAGTTTTCGCATGCGACATTGAAGGTCCTGTGTCCAACTCTCTCGGGGTGATATTGTGGATGCGCACTGCTGAGTAGTTTCGTACTAGCAAGAGACTGTCGTCTAGAATCCCAAATAAATAATATGTGTGATAAATAAATTAGAAAATTTACAAATATATGTGTAGGCATAGCTTTCGAGAAGCACAGAGGCGTCTTTAGGGATCCTAAAGGAGACGAACAGTTTCTATTCAATCTTAAAAGAGTTTAAAATAAAAAAAGTAGATCAGATAATAAATAGATTATTTCACTTGAATTGAATTATTGACTTATAATTGAATTCATGAGTCAATTGAAGCTAGACCATTATGACAAACCTGAAAGCACCGTACGGTTGTTTCATCCTGGTACAGGATCCCATAGTAGTACGCATCCTCGGTTCTACACAAGGGAGTCGAACCCATGACCTTCGGTTTGGCACACGAACGCTTAACCCATAAACCATTGAACCAGCATCCAATGGTGTTCATGTCGAACTCCAATCAATCCACGAAACGGGCCATTTAATACTTCCAGATTTTCCATGATAGTCTAGCTTTAGTCGACTCATGAAATCCACTATTAAATTAATACTTAACCTCTTTGAATTGCATAAAACGAATCATTTTATTCGACAGGAAAAAAAAGTTTCCTTTTTTTCTCTTTTCTTTAGTTCAAATATCTAATTCATGTTAATTACAGGGCTAACATTGAAATGTCCATTGAAATCACAACAACAACAACAACAACAACAAAAAGAAAACCCTCAATTTTTTCAATGATTTTCAACATCATTTGAACTTAAAATCCTGGAATAATACAATCGATATGTTGTACCTATGTGTGTGTGTGTGTGTGTGAGGGCGGGTAGGTGATTGTGTGAGTTGGTAGGTGGATGAATTGGTTGGTGTTTATATTCTAATAAGCCGATTAATACTACTGTTGTCATTCGAATAATAGATCAAATCATCACTACCTATCTATGCATAGGTCAAATATTAAAAAAAAAGAAAAGTGAACATTTTTCTTTTCTTAAATATAACACTTTCAATGTCAACTAACGTATAATTAAGAGATCTGAATAAATCAGCAGCAACAATAAAACAAGAGAGTGAAAAAATTTTTTTTTTCATTTCGACAGTGTTTTTGTGTGCGTTTTTCAGTTAACAAAATGGACAAAGAATTTGATTAAGTCCTCATTTTAAGACGTTCAAGTTGAGAATGATGATTAGAGATAGTTAATAGGAAATTATGAAAGTAATTTTTGTACTACTTGACTCTTGTCAACAAGGTATACCTATAATCTTGAAGGAACTGATGGCTTCAGATGCTCTGCTATGGCCGAGGGTGAGGAGAGTTAGCTTGTCCTCTTGAAACGCTCTCATATGGTCATATGTATATAGTCACTGTCAGGGTAGTCCTACTCACTGCATTCTCGTGACATTACTGTTGTTTACGAAATTGAAAGAACGAAAAGTGAATGTCCAACGATCTGACTGGGTTGGTGGACATGGAGAGTTCATCTAGGAGAGTTGAAAAACCCTGACTTCAAAGCACTGGTGCACATGGGCTGGCTCTAGTATCCTGAATGGATAAATGGCGTATGAACCCATTGTTGGTCACTGGCTAACATGGGACTGCATCTCCTGATGGTGCTCCACTGCATTGTGGATCAAAACTTTTGGTCAAAGGCTCGGGATGTGGTCCCTTAAGGAAACCACCTGTTTCGGTCTGGGTACCCGGACAGTACCACAGCCCACAAAAAAGCAAGTGACTTGTATGATCCACAAGTCTTCGGTGCCCCTTTGCACCAATATTTGTGTTCAAATATACATAAAAACCTGATGGATTCGATTAAGAGTCACTACCCAGTAATCAATTGTGGATTGTTTGATATTAGACACTAACACGATTGGATACCGGCCGGATCAGTGGTCTAGTAGGTTAAGCGTACGCGCGCAAGTCTGAAGGCCATGGGTTCGAAACCCGCTAGCGGGATCATGGGTGCTCACTGTTGAGGAGTCTCACAATAGGACGGAACGACCATCCAGTGCTTTCAGGTTTCCAACGGTGGTCTAACATCAATCGGTTCATGATTTCGATAAAAAAACTTAAACGTCCTAGATTCTTTCACTTACAAAAAGAAAAGGGTATTACATAGCTCTGATGATGATGATTTATTGATGAGTATTGATTTCAAATGAGATACGAAAATGGTATTATTATAAACTCAACTGTCAAACTATCTGATAATAACTTTTGTTCAGTAGAGTACAATTTTTGATAACAGGCTATTCTATTAGTTTAATTCATAAGTTAATGTATGCTAGACCATCATTAAAAACCTGGAAGGAGTAGACAGTTGTTTCGTCTCAATATAAGACTCCCTAGCAGTGCATATCCACGATCTTGCATACGGAACTTCATCATATTCACTTTTTCCATAAATCATCATTTATTATTAACTTTAAGTTCATTGATTTAATTATGTATGACGCTTGAAAACTTCTACAAACGTTTTTAAGTAACGTAATAATTCTCACTAACTCCGCCTGGAGACCCTTTGTGGCTACTAACAATTCAAAGCCCGGATAAAGAAGGAGGGTTGGCCATGAAATTAGCAACCCCATCCTGTAGAAAATTAACTTTCTTAAAAAACGTTAACCAGAAAAAATTAATTCAAACCATTACATAAAAAACATTTTCTTTCAGTTATAAAAATTGAAATCTTCTCATTCTTTATGTTGACTACTGTAAATAATCAATGTGTTTTTGAAAATGGAAATCCTTAACGGATTACCTTGACATTACTAACGGTCAGGGTTAGAGTGTGTCTAAGAGTGAGACTCAGATAGGGTTTCGTTTCATCTTAGGACTCATTAGCTAGATATACCTGAATAAAGACATTAATATTCGTTCTATGACTTTAACCCAGGGTTAATCGTTTCAATACAGTCTCACAACATTCAAAAGTTAATTAAATTACTCATTAGTGTTTAAAACAAATGATAGTATAGAAGCCGTGACCAGTGTAGCTGATTCGTGTCGGCTAGAAACAGGTGTCTACTTCAGTACAATGGAAGATGGTCGCGCAATTTCGTGGATTAGCTGAGGTTAGACATTAACACCACTGGATGCCAGCCGGATCAGTGGTCCAGTAGGTTAGGCGTTCGCGCACGAGACCGAAGGCTATGGGTTCGAATCCCGCTAGCGGGATCATGGATGCGCACTGTTGAGGAGTCTCAAAATATGACGGCCGTCCATTGCCCCCAGGTTTTCAATGACAGTCCATCTCCCCAACCCCTAAACTG